GCCACTGCCACTTTCGTGTCTGAGAAACCTCCTGAGAACATTATCCTCACATGGGGAGCCCCAAGGGTCCTTTGTAGTGGCAGAGGCACCCATTTTACTGGGCAAATAATTAAGGAAATATGTAAAATCTTCCCTGTTTTTCAAAGACTTCGTTGTCCTTTTCCTCGATCCCCTGGTCTAGTTGAAAGAAGTAATGGCATAATGAAAACTAAACTAGCCAAACTTTCCAAATGTTTATAATTGCTTTGGACTAAGATGCTGCCTCTGATCCTTTTAAATTTAAGAACTACTCCATTTGGACTTCACAAATGGACTCCTCATGAGATTATTACTGGATAGCCAATGGCCCTCTCCTATTGGGCAACTTGTCCTGATTCAAATTTGATTCTGCCTATGCTACGGCTGCTAACCAAGAGGTTGGCAGTTCGAATCTATCAGGCGCTCCTTGGAAACCCTATGGGGCAATTCTACTCTGTCCTATAGGGTCACTATGAGTCAGAATCTACTTGTCGGCAACGGGTCTGGTTTTTTTTTTTTTTTTTTTGGTACGCAGCCTGCAGTAAAATTTGGACTGTTTGCCTTTTTTTTTAAAAATCACTTTTGGTATCTTAGTCTTGTTAGCTGTTATGCATGATTGTGGGATTATATCCTGGTAGTTTTGGTGATATTATGCCAATTGTTACTTTGAAAAAAGTTGTTTAAGTGAGGGCTTTAACTCTCTTTGAATTTTTTTTAGTCACGGGCATCATAATTTTTAGTTGTAGGTATTTTGATGGTATTAATGATCTAACTCATCTGTGGTGCACCTTCTGAGCATTATAGTCATTTTTGCTTAATTTGAATTTATAACTTTCCATTGCTTTTGAAATAGCCTTTTGTTTCATAAACTTGAACTTTCAGTATGGTAAAAAATTTTAGCTGTAGAGGTAGTAGAAATTTATTTTCTGATTACCCTAATCCTTTATATTATCATTGGATTCCAACTGTGGGGTATTATTCCTTGATTTATATATTGTTCTTTCCCTGAGAACCTAGACCTCTTTTTATAAGAACTACTTTTAGAGATTAGTTATATTTCTCATGAACTGTCTGGGATTGGAATCCATATTAGTTCTTTTGTTTTAAATTCTGTTTTTTATAATTGTTGCCACCATTTATATTATTAACCCCTTAATGTCAGTTACATGAATATTGAAGTAACATTGTATCTTTTTATCATTAACATTCTACTTGTCTTTTAGTGGTTAGTAGCCTTTTTATACTCTTTTATGCCTTTCATTGCTGACATTTATTTTGTCATCACTTTTATTTGAATGGAAACCCTGGTGGCATAGTAGGTAAGTGCTATGGCTGCTAACCAAGAGTATTGGCAGTTCGGATCCACCAGGTGCTCCTTGGAAACTCCATGGGGCAGTTCTACTCTGTCCTATAGGGTCACTATGAGTCAGAATAGACTTGATGGCAATGGGCTTGGCTTGGTTATTTGCATGCTAGTAACCCTTGTTTATTTCTTCTGGGCCGTGTTTTTCCATTATACAGCCCTTCTTAAACTTTCTGCCCATACTGCTGCTCATTGCAGCTCGCATTAATTCTTGGCATGAGAATGCCTTAGTTAAGCTCACTCAGCAATCAGCATGATCCACAAATCTAACTGAATGCTTGATCTGTCATCCTTTACCCAAAACTGTACATTAGAACTCAGATCCATTAGCTACTCCTATACTGAATTACAGTTTTGTTCCCCCTGCTACCGTCAGTTGTAGCATCACCTCTAGGCGAGCTGTATGTGTGGGACTGTGGCATCCTCCTGAGATACCTACTCAATCCCAGGTCCCATGTTTCAATCTTACTTGAATTAGAGTGTCCAAAATACCCTATATCTCCTCTTCAGATTGTAAAAATAAGCTCTTAATTTCATATAATGCCTCTCCCAGATATTGGAACGTGGCTTTTCCAGGAAATTTAACAGTGTGTCTACTGGGAGAAAGTTCTTTTTGTGTCCAGATGTGGAATTGGCTAAGATTAGGACAACTGTTTATTTGCAAAACACCTTGACAGAGAATTGGCTTGAACAGATAAATCAAACCATCCCAATCCCAGGTAAAGACACTAGTACTGGCATAATATGTGCCTCACACGGATATGTATTTTTATGTGGAGGATCAAGATACCTCACCTTTGCCAATGTGAATACAAATATTAAGAGCCCTATACTGGAGGCCTGGTGGCACAGTGGTTAAAGTGGTCAGCTACTAACTCAAAGGTCGGTGGTTCGAACCCACCAGCTGCTCCACGGGAGAAAAATGTGGCAGTCTGCTCCTGTAAAGATTTACAGCCTTGGAAGCCCAATAGGGTTGCTATGAGTTGGAATTGACTCAATGGCAATGGATTTGGTTTAGTTTTTTATATCTGGACTTTATCCTGTTTGGAATATGGGAATCCCTTTAGACATCCTTTCTTACAATGAGAGTTTACATGGGATTCGTCTCCTGAAACTATTAGCAAGGAAGAGAAACGGTCAAGAGCTATGACTGCTCAAGAGAAATCACTGAACTCACCAAAGTAGTTTAGATTATCAGATTGCCCTAGATTTTCTGTTAGCCCAGCAAGTAAGGGTCTGTGCTATAGCTAACACCTCTTGCTGCATCTGGATTAACACCTTGGGAGAGGTAGAACAAGACTTTAATTTGCCAGAAAGCTACTTGGCTCCATATACTTCCACCCTCAGGCTCCCCTTTTCTAGATATTTTCAGCTAGCTACCCTCAGGTGTTGGGTCATGGATTAAGTCTATATTGTTAACCGGATTAATAGTACTCACTGTTATTGTAATAATCGTAGGGACTATTATATATAGTATGAAAGAAACTTTTGACAAATGCCATTACCCAAAAGATTCATTTAATGCCTCTGAAAAGAGTAATGTACATTGACAGTACTTATATTTCAGACAGACTCAAGCCCACTCCTTGAGTAAGCTATCAGATGTTAGGTTATTCCTCTAATGTGGCTTGCCCTGCACTAACCATCAAGTGATAAAACCACAGAAGCAAGAGGCTAAAGCTATGGCATGGTAAAGACATCAAATAGTGCCTGGCTACCTTTTCATAATGTTCTGCTGCTATTTATAGTTTAATTTTTCTTGAATCCACATTTGTTGCCCCTGGAAGCAGCAGTTAGGAGATCGAATGATGTATTGCATTTGGGTGGGTCTGCTGTAAAGCACCTTTCTGAAATGTGACGGGCAGAGATGTCACATTGAGGACTAAGGTGCACTTGACTCAAGTCGTATTTTCAACCGCCCCATAGCCATGCAAAAGTTGGATAATGAGTAAGGTAGATCAAGGAAAACTGATGCCTTTGTATTAGGGTGTTGGTGAAGAATATTGAGTATATCATGGACTGCCAGGAGAATGAACAATCTGTCTTGGAAGAAGTACAGCCAGAACGTGTAGGGGAATTTTAAAATGTGTAAGAAGGATTTCTAAGGTCTTCAAAGAGAAAAACTCCTTAGGAGGGAGGATAGTGAAGGATCGGGCAGGGTTCTGTTCTGTTGTGCGTGGAGTGCCCGAGTTGGAAACAACTCTATGGCACTTAACAATAACAACCCTTTCACACACATAGTGTCTGAGGTCTTAAAAGCTTATTAAATAAAGAGCCACCCAGAATAAAACCAATGCTCAAGGTCCATGCAGAAGAAAGCCTTCTTTCACAATAGTGGATCAGTGAAGCGATCAAAGAAATTTTAAAAATCCTTGATCAAGAGGAGGGAATGTGTAGGGGAATTTTAAAATGTGTAGGATTTCTAAGGTCTTCAAAGTGAAAAACTTAAATCTTTATACGCCCGCTTCACACTTATTCAGCAAAGTGCACCTGTATTTGGCTTAAACTTTCCATCTTTGTGTAAAGGAATTTTAAAATTTGAGGTATTTCAGATCTACAGTGGTTAACTTGAGGTTTGAGTGTGACTCCTCTGTGGCTAGTTCCGTTTCCACCCTAGCAGCAGCCATTTCCCATGAAGATAATCATGAAACAAATGTCCAGCAATGATGATATTAACTACCCTGTGGCTCCCCTGAGGAATGGCTGATAATAACTACCCTGTGAGCACCCCCCACCCAGTCATACCCTTATGATTACCACATTGTAACCAATCTAAGAAAAACTGATATCCTTTCAAGCCAATTACCTTATGAGCTTCTGCCACAGGAAGTCCTGCCTTACAAGTTCCTGCCACAGGAAGTCCCGTCTTAAAATGATCTACTACCAATCGAGTAATGTGTCTTTCGATGATCTAAGCCTATAATTACCAATCACGTGATGTCTTTCAATGATCTAAGTTTGTAAATACCAACCAAGTACAGCACTTCATGTCCTTTGTTTCTCCCTTATAAAATGTCACTGCTGAGATGCCATACTGGATTACTGGATTCCACTGCATTGAGTTCAGACTACCCCCAGCTTGAACTCTTTACTCTCAATAGATCTCTCAATTTTACATTAATTAGAGTACGGATAGTTACTCCACAACATCCTAAAGCAACATCTTTCTTGTTATTAGTGGTTTCCCATAAAGTGAAGTTTTTGCTTTTCTGTATTAAAAAAAAAAAAAAAAAACTAATTTGATTGGATCTTCCATATTGCTTTTTTTGGGGGGCGGTGGAGCAAATGGAATATTTTCTGAAAGACAGGCATAAAGAGGCTTCTTGCTGCGGTACCTGCCACAGTCAACTAAGAGTTAACCCAGCAACATGATATTTTTCTTTGTTCATATACTATAGTTGTGTCTGACGCAAAATAATCTCAGAGAAAAGTTAATACTGGCAAATTCAATGACTCCAGGTATAAATTTAGTTAACTAAGTCAGAATGTTACCCCATTATTGCCAATTGAAGAAAGCTATGTACACACTCAAAGGTATATATGTGTTCACAGATAAAAATTAAGACAATATGATCACTAGACAATGGTCAATGGAAAATAAGTAGCAATATTGCGCCAATGCAAGACAAAATATACTTTATTGGACAGCAAATGCACACAGTGCCGTAGATAAGGCATGCTACTAGGAACCTGCATATAACCAAAGGCTGGTACGCAAATGAAAGGGAATGAACGCCCTTTGTTAAGGCTTGAAGATGTACTCAGAGGTGAAAGGAAAATTTGTGTCCCCTTATCTCAAATGCAGTATTATACCTACTTAATCAGAGACCTGTGCCTCTAAGCAGGAGCCCAAAGGCAAAAAAAAAAAAACAAAACTTAACTGTACTCAGAAGTCATTTCTAATATCAAAAACAGGAAGATTCACTAATTGAGGCAAATTTTTTTTCTAGATAAAAGAACTAGAAATTGAGCGCTCAAACATCCATTTATTTATTTAAATAATTAGGCAATTTTGATGTCATTTATTCTGCCAGAAGCAAACACTAGAATATCTAGAAGTAGTCTGGATAAAGAAACACATTTTAATGCTTTTTAATGTCATAAATTTTGGGTTAAAATGTATACTTCATCCTTTTCTACTTGAGTTTCAATAGCTGAATGTCTAAGAAAAGATCTGAAAAAAAATGATGCTAATGACAGAGATTTAGTCTTTTGATGAAACTATTAAGTTCTACAGACTTGTCAAAATGGCAAAACTGAGAGGAAAAGGCTTAAATGTTTTTACAAAGCAGTGTTTTTAGATAAGCTGCTTCATTTCTCCCTTCTTTTGAAACAGATGCAGATTAAACGCTTTCTGCATGAATGCACACTTGACAGTCTGTTCAGCTCTTTTCTAAATGCAGCACTGTGGGTTTAAAAAGTGTGCTTTAATTTAAACAAAGAATAATATCTTATACATAGTCAATTTCATTTAGAAATGAAAAGAAACACTTACTACTATGACAATTACTTATTACAAGTACTCCTTTCTTCTAAAACGTAATTTTAAAAGCAGACACAGGACCAAAAACATCCAACTATCACTTTATTTATATTACTATGCTTAAGTTACATGGAAAAAGACAACCAAGCAGTTCTGCCCCATTTCAGGAAAACTTTCCACTCAATACCAATTATGTGGTGACAAATAACTAGGAAGGGTGACATCTTTGGGTCAAGACTGACAAAGAAGAATGGGCTCTGGTGCTACGGTTCATCTCCAACAAGAATATGGCACAATGGCCAGCACAAGCCATGCTAACACTGGACCTTTAGCGCTGGTCACAAATTCGGATCTCTTCTCTGAAGCTAGCAAATCAGGTGAAATAACTGGGTTTTAAAAAAGGTTTTAAATGAAGCCTGAAAGTTTAAAAACCATGCTCTTGACATATTGTCCTTTCAAAATTTACATAAAACACACTGTTTTTCACTCAAATAGCCCAGATTTTTTTCCTCACTTAGCCCACTATGTAGCTGCAGATAGACTATTCTGTCTTAAGATGTAAACATAGGAAAACAAAATTAACGGCACCTGCATAATATTCTCTCTACACACTGCTGTTGGATGGAAAATTAAAAAAAAAAAAAAAAGAAGAAGAAGAAGAAGAAAGAAAGGTTCCATCTTAGATTCTCACAACCTCTTGTTCTGCAGTTCATGAATCCGACTCTGATGCTAAGGTGACAGTGTATGTAAGTAGATTTTGTTTTCAGTGAAGGAGACCTGGGAATAGATGGTATTTATCTCTTTCTTCAAGAGTTATCAGACGGTACATGCTCCTCAAAGCCCTCACTCTCTCGGACTAGAGCGCGTTCCAGGATCACACGGCCTTCCTTATAACGCTGGCTGTCTTCAGTGGCAAACTCATAGATCCATCCCAGTTTGCTATTGCAGTTTTTGCAGCTCACATCTCGAACCATGTGGCGGCCAGTGAGCATGACCCGGTCTTGAACTTCACTGTATTGCAGGTTAACCACCTAAGATACACACACGTGAAAGCAAAATTGCAAAGGCATGTAAGTTATTTGCCAAACAAGTACTCAATATTATGGTTGGTGCAGTAACAGCAACTTCAGAAAAAGAAAACAGAAGTTGTTACTCTAGTCAAACCTACACTATCCTCTCTAAGAGGGCCAAGAGCTATTTTTAGAAGCTGCTGGGACAGGTAAACGTCTGGAAATTGCACTGCACAAGACATCTAATGCAATCATGTATTACTGTACTAACTCAAGGCACACTATTTATACATCCTATTTACACTTCTGTTTTGCAGTGAAGAGTGCTGGAATTAGAGTCATAAAATGTAGGCTTGGATCTAATTGTTCTCACTATTTCATTGATCAACATTTTAACAGTGCAAATAAAGCAATCACTGTAAAAGTACACACTAGATATTCCATAAAAAAGTTGTCAAATTTGTTTCTGAAATTACATGCAATATACAAACAGGCTAGGATAGACTAAGCCTACTACCAAACGTACATTACAATGGTTTTCAAGTGAGTTCAAATACAATGGCTGTAGAGAACTTTCAACGATTCTGAACACACAACAATCCTCTGCAGTTTGGTTTTCTGTTAAACAGACAGTAAAAAAATTTCAGCTGAGGGCTATATGGTCTTTGTTGCAAGTATTCAATTCCGCCTTTGTAGCATGAAAACAACCATACATAGTACATAAATGCATGAGCGTGGCTGTGTTCCAATAAACTTTATTACAAAAACAGGCAGCTGGTCTGCTGGCTGTAGTGTGCTGACTCTTGCTCTACACCTAAATAAAGATCAAAGCACACACACTCAATTTTTTTAGAGAAAAAACTTGTTCCTACATGGAATAGAGGGGTGTCCACTGGGGAAGTTTACCTGGCCTTCTAAGAGCAGTACCTGGATTAGCTCTGTTCCTTAGCCTAAAAAATTTGAAAATTCAATTTAATCAGTACACATTAGACCCAGGAGGTAGAATCGTATCAATTTCAAAGCCAGAAATTAGAGAAGCAGGCAGACTGAACACTCATTTGTAAGTCAGGGAATGTTCTTCCTGTTAGCAAACCTATGTAATAAGTCAAATCATAATTAGAAGGATGCCTGGTGAGCATGAAGTAAAGCAAGTTAGGTGATCCTTGTTTACTTTCATTGTCAAGTTGTGACAGCTTAATGCAGCTATCTTCCTATATGGATACATCAGTGACATGGGGACAAGGGGCATCTTGGCTCCTTCTTCCATAGTGTGTGCTAAAGTCACTGCTAAATTCTTACACTGAATGTTTCCTAAGGCAATGGAGACCATCCCTCTTCTTGTAGGACATTTTTTAAACTTTCAAGGTTAAAAATCACCTTCTAGTGTTGCTTTCCTGAGATCCCTAACAGAACAAGCTTGTAGGCAATCATTTTTAGAGATTTTAGCTCTTCATTTTGACTGTTCCCAGTACCTCCAAGCTCTGGGAGGTATCCTGGCATTGCTGTCAAGTATACCCACTGAACTGACTTAGGAAATGAAGTCAGCTTTCTCACCAACCTTGTTAAAAAGAAATGCTCGGCCAGTGGCGCCTGTGAAACGAGTGGAGATGAGTTCTGAGCGGTTGGTCAAGATCGTATCGCAGTTTGCACAAGAAAACAGACGGGTACCACCGATATGGTCAAGGAAAATTCTGCCCATTTTAACAGCTGAAGTTCTAAATACCTAGGAGCAATAGAAAAGGAAAATAAATGTATTATAATAAAATTGTTAGCACCTACTTGGTGGGTGTCACACAGAAACATTTACATGTAATCTGCTTTGTGGTACTCAGTATGTGAAATAGCTGACCCCGAACAAAAGGATCCAAAGTTCATGCACTGAACAAATGAATAGGGATATCAAAGCCAAGAACACTTTAAAAGCAGTGAGCCAGGGAAGTAAACACATAACATAAGTGTAAGTACACATTCTGAATGTGTAATTTGAGAAAAGACTGTATGGTATGAGTGGGATGGTCCAATAAGGGGCTGTGAGATACCCAAGAAGAGCAGAAAGAGGGGAGAGGGGAGAGGAGAGATAAGACAACAAGAGAAGGGTAGTCTGGTTTGTGAGCATAGGGTCAATGGACTTGTGGTCATTGAGAGCATCTACAACTGTAGGGGTGACGGCATGAACTTTAGTATCTATGGAGCATTGTACAAGGTGCTATACTTTGTAATCCTCATGATAAACAACTGGTCGAAGGTTACACACCTTTCAAATACAAACAACTGGAATGCAGGCCACCTGACTCAAAGTTCTCCCATCACTCTACACTGCCTCCTCTAAGATGGCACAGGATGGTAAAGGCCTGCACAAGGCTAGGGCAACAAGAACAGAGAAGGGAAAGATAACTCACTGTAACACAATAACTTGTTTGCATTTAAGAGTCTGGCTAATGTAATAAATCACAGAACTGCATTTCATTTTTTATTTGAAAAAATAAAGCTTTTTTTTTTATTGTGCTTTAGGTGAAAGTTTACAGCTCAAGTTAATTTCTCATTCAGAAATGAATACACATAATATTTTGTGACATTGGCTGAAATCCCCATAATGTGACAGTACACTCCCCCTTTCCACCCCGGGTTCCCTGTACCCATTCGTCCAGTTGCTGTCCCTTTCTTCCTTCTCGTTTGAAACTATGGCCCTTGGACACTCTGCTAACCCAGAACTAAAGCTGTTCCTAAAAAAAATAAAGCTTTGATAAAACTTCTGAACTATGATAGTCACACTTCAGTATTTCAAAACTTAAGAGAGTTAATATGTACAACTCCTTAAATTCACTGCAATTAATTCTCCTAAACAGTATTTTTAAAGATCTGAGTATAGACGGGAATACACCATAGCTTTCATTTTAAAAAGCATTTATTTCCAGGTGTGGTTATCAGCTCCTATGTTTTAAATAATATTATTGTTATTAGAGGCTGTGGAGTCGGCCCCTTACTTGTGGCAACCCCATGAAAAACGGGATCGGACCCATACATCTTTAAAATGGCATGCAGAACTAATATAACTCTCACCATGAAAAAAAAAAATCCAGAATCCATTTTTGTAATAAGAATCCACTGTCTTCTTATATCTGAGGAAATTCCATTATAGTTAAAACAAGAAAGTTTGATTCTTTGTTAGATCTGTGAACTTCCTTGGCCACTGGGCAGTTGTAATGTCATTAGAAATGTCATCATCATGAAGCTCATGATGATGTCCCTTAAACATGACATGGAAGTTTAATAAAAAGGAATAAAAAAAACAAATGGTAACTATAATTACAATTTGTAGCTAGTAAAAGACCCTGGGTTAAAAACACAAGACATAAGATACTGGTATTTAATTTTCTTACTACATTTCTGCAAAATGACAACAAAAAGTTAAGACTTACTGCTTATTGTTTTAGCCTTTTTAAGATTGTAGCATTACTCTTTCCAGATGCTTAAGGACTCAAGTGTTTGTTACATATAGGTCAGAGTTTGCAAATTTGAGGTCTGCAGGCTGAATTCATTTGGTGGTATAGGGATACGGTAATGAACAAACAGATGAAAGGTCCTTCCCTCAAGCCAGTACAACTTGTACAAGGAACGGTCATGGAAACCCCATAGACACGTTCAAACTCCCTGAGAGACTGAACTACTGGGTGGAGGGCTGTGGGGACCATGGTCTGGGGGAACATCTAGCTCAGCTGGCATAACACAGTTTATAAAGACAATGTTCTACATTCTACCTTGGTGAGTAGCGTCTGGGGTCTTAAAAGCCTGTGAGCAGCCATCTAAGATACTCCAATGGTCTCACCCCTTCGGGAGCAAGGGAGAATGAAGAAAACAAGATACAAGGGAAAAATTAGTCCAGAGGACTAATGGACCACAACTCCCATGGCCTCCATCAGACTGAGTCCAGTGTAACTAGATGGTGCGGGGCTACTACCATTGACTGCTCTGACAGGAACAGAGGGTCCCAGACAGAGCTAGAGAAAAATGTAGACCAAAATTCTAACTCACAAAAAAAGACCAGATTTACTGGCCTGACAGAGACTGGAGAAACCTCAAGAGTATGGCCCCTGGACACCCTTTTAGCTCAGTAATGAAGTCACTCCAGAGGTTCAACCTTCAGTCAAAGATTAGACAGCCCCATAAAACAAAACGAGACTAATGGGGCACAACAGCCCAGGGACAAGGGCTAGATGGCAGGAGGCGACAGGAAAGCTGGTAGGTAATAGGGAACCCAAGGTCGAGAAGGGAGAGTGTTGACATGCCGTGGAGTTGTTAACCAACGTCATAAAACAGTATGTGTACTAACTGAGAAACTGCTTGTTCTGTAAACCTTCACCTAAAGTACAATTAAAAACAAAAATGAAAAAAAGAGTCCTTCCCTCACAAAGCATATGTGGACATGTTTTATTTGGACTACAGTTTTTATTTTTAATAATAATAATAAACAGTTGAGCTGACATATATTGGGAGATTTAATTTAAAAGCCTGTATTTTAGGCTTCTTTTTTAGTAACGGGGACATGTATCTGGTAACACGGGGCATGTATTCTTGTATGGTAACAACTGACCAGGGCTGAGGTAGCTGTCATCCTGCCCTCCCCGCCCACCAACACTCTTTTCATTTGCTCAGTCTCCTCTGCTTCAGTCAGTTACTTTACCTTGTAAGACATCTGAGTTTATGACTTCTGATAAAAATAAAGCATTCTTGATATGCATAAATCAAGCATTCAACAAACCTGCGAGCAGTTGATTTTGGTCATGTTTCCTACTACTAGTTGATGGTTAAGATTGTGTGTCAACTGGGCTGGGCCATGATTCTCAGTGTTTATATGTGATCACCCCCATGCTGGGATCTGCTGTGAGCAGCCAGTCAGTTGAAAGGGAGTTTCCTTGGGTGTGTGGCCTGCATTTGTATATTAGCACATGTTCTGGCTTTTGCCTGCACTGAATCCTACAGCTGCCTCCTGTTCGTCTGACCTCCAGTTCTTGGGACTTGAGCTAGCAGCTTACCTGCCAATCTCGGGTTTTGCTGATCTTCACAGCCTGTGAGCAAGAGCACTGCTCTCCGACCTGCCGATCTTGGGTTTGCCAGCCCCTGCGGCAATGTGAATCAGGATGGTTACGTGAATCTGGAGAAGCTCTATCCTGATCCATGGGCTTGGGACATTCCAGCCTCTACAATCACGTGAGCTGTTTCCTTGATATAACTCTCACTACATATATACACGCTTTACTGGTTTTGCTTCTCTAGAGAACCCAGCATAAGATACTGGTCATTAACAGAAGGAATCACAGCATCACCTCTTAAGACACAGTCTTCAGGTTGTGTATCTTTGAAGACTAGTATTTAGCCTTCAGCTAAGTCTTCTGGAACTCAATTTTTTTAAGCTAATTTTCCCTCGAACTTTTAAATAAAATATTCATATTGTAATTTCTTTCAACTACAATGCAGGAATAACTGCAATGACCACAGCAGATACAATGCTATTGTGGCAAATGTGCTGGATTTCAAATGAACTTTTCCTACACCTTCACATACATCATTTTATCTTTTGCTCAAAATTAAAATCTAACTGTGACTATCTGCTACTGGATACAGGTTAAGCTCTTTAATATTCCTAAAGAGGGTGAACAGATTTAACATTCCTTCTTTTCCCTGTGTCAGATCCAGTCTATTTTTTACTCTTTTACCCAAGTATTTTTTACTGGATTCAATTACATGATTCATTACCAAGACCAAAAATATCTGGGCAGAACCTTATGTTACGCTATTCCTACTTATGGTTGCCATATATAGAGCTCTCTCACTCCCTGTCTCTCTATATTATCTATCTATGTATACATATATGTAAAATGCAGTTTTTCTTTGCCAAAAGAGATAATCTAGAATGGCTTGGAACCTGGCAAAAGCAAGCAAAATATTACCTGTTGTCAAAGGCCTTTAGGAAGTAGAAATACCTCTGCAACGTCATTATGTTCCAGGGTTAAGCTTTAACATTTCAGAGTTAAGAAACTCAACCTGTTTTTGTTGTGTACCAACCTAGTACTAGCTTATACTAACCAAACTCAAGAGGCTAACTGACTAACATCAGTCAGAATGCTGCTTTATTAATTTTCAGGGGGAAGTCATTAAAAAGCTAAGACATAGCACTTGAATATGTAATCAGGCTTCTCTGGACCTGGATGATATACTGAACTCAGCCTTTAATTATTTTAGTGTCTACAATTGTTTGGGACAATACAACTTGGTACCTTACATACCACATTTAATCCTGACAAATTTTTAAGTAGGTATTTATTACTCTAGGGTCCCTGGGTGGCACAAACAGCTTGTGCTTGACTGCTAACCTAAAGGTTGGCAGTGCAAACCACTCAGCAACGCCATAGGAGAAAGGCCTGGTGATCTGCTTCCATAAAGATTACAGCCAAGAAAATCCCATGAAGCTGTTCTACTCTTAACATGTGGGGTCACCATCAGTCAGAATCGAGTCGGTGGCAACTGGTTTTTTTGTTTTTTATTTATTAGTCTAATTTTACAGATGATTGTGTGACTTTCCCAAATTTGCCAAGCTGGGATCTGAAATAAATCTTGCTCCAGATCTCTGCATCCTACTTACTCTCTCATGACCAGGACATTCAGGGCTGCCCAGTTCACTAACATTCTTCCTGAGATTTATCACGTACCCCTCCTGGCTCCGTG